CAAAAGATTTAAGCTTTGCTTCATTAATGTTAGAGATCATCCCTAAAAACCTAGTTGTTAGAAAAGTTAACCCCAAATCTCTACGAAACTTGTAATTGGTTCATAATTGACCTTGATGTGGGACTAAATGGACCTTAACATACAACCACTACACTTTCAAAATCCCGATTCTCCAAGGGTCAGCTTTGCACTAGTCTAGTCCATGATCAAACACTCTAACCTCACGTAATCTCACGAACACTGTAATATTGGAGAGGGAGGATGTGGACCTGTGTACAAATGTTATCTCGATCATACTCCAGTGGCCATTGTGGTTCTTCGTCGCGATAATGTACAAAAGGCTCAGAGTTTCAGCAAGAGGTAATAAGAAAAACAACAAAATTAAGGGTAAAACTTCCTAATTCTGGGATGCTTTGCATAGAAATTTCTCTAAATTGCAAAAAAAAAATTATACAAAACCCCTCTCAGCTATTGAAAATTGTCATAAATCGTGTTTAACGTAGAAAGAAAGAAATAAATAAAGGTTTAGCTACCCATCCTGAAAAACTCGATCAGTAAAATTAGAAAGGTACCCAAGAGAAATATGTCACACGTGAAGCACATGACATACCAATCATGATATATTTGCACCAAAATTGAAGAAAGGCCTTCTCTAATCTTATAATTATGATGGAAATTTATCATAAAATTAATGAAATCCAGAAACAATCTCAATAATTCTTCTCCAACTTTGTCGCACAGGCTCAAGTATTGAGTTGCATCCGATATCCAAACATCGTTCTCCTTGGTGCCTGTCCTGAGTACGGCTGCCTCGCATACGAATATATGTAGCCAACGGAAGCCTCGTCGATGATCACCTAGTTTGTAGAGGGAGCTCGCGCTAACCCTTGGCAGCATCGGTTCCGTAACTCAGCTCTGTATCGGAAATTATGCTCATTTATAAAGTGTTGTAAATCTTAATTTTCTTTTTATTTTTAGACACATAAGAAGATGGATTATGTGTCTAGTCAATTATTTCTACTAAGAAGGATTCTCACATGTTGTACGTATTTTTTTTCTTCTTGTAACAAGGGTCATAATGCAGCCTTAATTTATATCTGTGCATGATCTGTAATTCATGAAACATGAAACCTACAAACAAGATGGGAGTATGCTTCATTTAATAATCTATTATCTTATATTTATATGGTTTTCCACTTTTAAACAAATTGGAAAACCCATATCCCTCTGAAATTTCATGAATTTGGGCCACTCTACTAATTAATTTCCACTAGACTTAATTAAATGAAAAAGATGCAAAACCAAGACAAAGGAACCTATATATCTCAATTCATGTGCATTGGACTAGAAAGAAGGTATTCCCTCCGTTGACATCACAACATCAAAACGTTTACACATTCATGAACAAAGGGAAAATCTCTCTTTGTGACGCTTGCATCTATTTAGTACCCTCTTGACTTTCTCTCCCTCACATCACCGCGTTTCATACGATCCTTGCCTCCAACAAACAATTGTCCCTTCCTCATCTTTTCCCTCCCGCTCCCCACTACAAATAAAACATTGATTTTTTTTATTAAACCCATTAATTCTTTTGTCGTCGTTTATTTTGAAACCCATGCACTTTCAAAATCATTAATAACATCCAAAATACCTAACCAGACTTATTTTTAAGTCCACATTCAATATTTCACCCACATTGATACGAAATTTCCAGAAAACTTAAAAAGAAACGTAACTCAAATAAATACTCTTATAGCGACTAAGAAAAAATTATAGAAATTTATAGCAATTTTACAATTTATAAGTTGGTATAATTTGCTATAATTAGCTCCAATTTGGGTAGTTTTACTTTTACTTTTTTTTTAAGTAACAGTCCATGCAAAACGGACGATATTGTAGATGGATTTAAATAAAGGGAAAAATGTGTCAAGGCCCCAAAAGCAGAAACTTCATGTGACAAGACCCCTCATAGTTTTTCCCATGTGGATCAGCCACTTGAAGTGTGACACTTTGTACTGCAGCCCCTTTTTATTAATTATCACATGCCAGCTAAGCTAAAATTCCCAAACTATCCTTATCCTCTCTCATCAATCTCTCTGACCCAGCACTCATATCATCTCTCTCTCTCATCTCTCTCTCTCTCTCTCTCTCTCTCTCTCTCTCTCTCTCTCTCATCTCCTCTCTCTCTCTCTCTCACCTCTCTCTAAAACTAAGAGCTTTCTCAAGCTCGTCGTCCTGGCCGAGACGCACAGAGCATTAATCTATTAGCTAGAAGAAGAAAAGAAAAAAAAAGAAAAAAAGAAAAAAGAAAGGTAAGGAGAAGTAGAGTAGAAGAGGAATGAAGAGAAATGCCGTAATTAAGAAAGAACGAAATCGAGCGATGTTTCGGATGTTACCGAGAGAGATAGAGATTGAGTTAGAGCGTGATACAAATTGGAGGCGATAGGCAACATGTAGGGATATTCACCAAAGAATAAATCGGCGGAAACAGAGATTGGAGGTGATCAGAAAGTGCGTGCAAAGTCGGCACAAAACTATAGTTTTCTGCAGTACAATTTCTCGCCGTTCGGGTTTGTTCTTCACTGTTCGGAGATTTTCGCCGCTGTTCGGGCTTACCGGAGGTGGGAGGAGGTTGTCGGGGTTGTCGGGGTCGTCGGGGTATCTCGGTGGGCTCCGTCGGAGGTAGGAGGAGCTTTTCTCCGTTTCCAAGAGCCTAGAACTAAAATGAATTAGAGCTAGAACTAGCTAGAACTAACAAGATAGAAGCTAGAACTTGTTGTATACAAGCTAGAACTAGGGAAATAGTAGCTAGAACTAACATAGAAAAAAAAACTAACAAGTGTGCATGTAAAAAACCCTTGTTGGGTTTAGAACTAGCAAGATAGAAGCTAGAACTGGGGGTATACAAGCTAGAACTAGGGAAATAGAAGTTAGAACTAACGTAGAAGAAAGAACTAGCAAGTGAGCATGTAAAAAACCCTTGTTGGATTTAGAACTAACAAGATAGAAGCTAGAACTGGGGGTATACAAGCTAGAACTAGGGGAATAGAAGCTAGAACTAACGTAGAAGAAAGAACTAACAAGTGTGCATGTAAAAAACCCTTGTTGGATTTAGAACTAGCAAGATAGAAGCTAGAACTAGGGGTATACAAGCTAGAACTAGGGGAATAGAAGCTAGAACTAACGTAGAAGAAAGAACTAGTAAGTGTGCATGTAAAAAACCCTTGATGGGTTTAGAACTAGCAAGATAGAAGCTAGAACTGGGGGTATACAAGCTAGAACTAGGGAATAGAAGCTAGAACTAACGTAGAAGAAAGAACTAGTAAGTGTACATGTAAAAAAAACCCTTGTTGGGTTTAGAACTAGCAAGATAGAAGCTAGAACTGAGGGTATACAAGCTAGAACTAGAGGAATAGAAGCTAGAACTAACGTAGAAGAAAGAACTAGCAAGTGTGCATGTAAAAAACCCTTGATGGGTTTAGAACTAGCAAGATAGAAGTTAGAACTGGGGGTATACAAGCTAGACTAGGGGAATAGAAGCTAGAACTAACGTAGAAGAAAGAACTAGCAATTATGCATGTAAAAAACCTTTGATGGGTTTAGAACTAGCAAGATAGAAGTTAGAACTGGGGGTATACAAGCTAGAACTAGGAGAATAGAAGCTAGAACTAACGTAGAAGAAAGAACTAGCAAGTGTGCATGTAAAAAACCCTTGTTGGGTTTAGAACTAGCAAGATAGAAGCTAGAACTGGGGGTATACAAGCTAGAACTAGGGGAATAGAAGCTAGAACTAACGTAGAAGATAGAAGCTAGTTCTAGCTTCTATTCCCTTAGTTCTAGCTTGTATACCCCCAGTTCTAGCTTCTATCTTGCTAGTTCTAAACCCATCAAGGGTTTTTTACATGCACACTTGCTAATTCTTTCTTCTACGTTAGTTCTAACTTCTATTCCCCTAGTTCTAGCTTGTATACCGCCAGTTCTAGCATCTATCTTGCTAGTTCTAAACCCATCAAGGGTTTTTTACATGCACACATGCTAATTCTTTCTTCTACGTTAGTTCTAGCTTCTATTCCCCTAGTTCTAGCTTGTATACCGCCAGTTCTAGCTTCTATCTTGCTAGTTCTAAACCCAACAAGGGTTTTTTATATGCACACTTACTAGTTCTTTCTTCTACGTTAGTTCTAGCTTCTATTCCCCTAGTTCTAGCTTGTCACTACAAGAAATTACATCTTTAACGAAGGGATTTCCCTTCGTTAAAGAGCTGAAAACCTTCGTTATTGTATGCTAACGACGGGGAAAAATCCCTTCGTCACCCGTCGTTGAAGCCCTCTTCGCTAAAGGGTCACGAAGGGATATACTACCCGTCGTTATAGAGTCTATAACGACGGAACATATTACCGTCATTAATATTTATGACGGTAATTATCACCGTCGTTACCATCAATGAAGGGGATATTTTCCCGTCGTTACCATCAGTGACGGGATATCTTCCCGTCGTTAGCATTAGTTACGGGGATATTTTCCCGTCGTTACCATTAGTTACGGGAATATTTTTCCATCGTTGAAGACTAATTAATGATGGTTGGATACCTTCGTAAAAGTCCTCATAATGGGTTATTAATAACCCATCAACGACGGTGCTTTCCCTTCGTTGATGAACCAAATACGGTTTATAAAACCGTCATTATAGACTATAAATTTCTAATATACATTAATAATAATTTTTCCATTCATAGGCAACTATCATATTATTCTCAACCTGACACTAAGATTCACAACAAAAATATATTAAAAATACCCAATAATGAATAAGAGGGAAAATAAAAATTCCATTCATTAATAACATCAATAAATAAAATTCCATCATCCTCAAATATTCAATACTAATAACAAGAGTTAATATTCTAATTGTTCCAAAGAAAAATACATGAAACTATCTAAAACAAATTAAAATAAAAGTTTGGGGAAGACACATTCTTTCATCTCTAATCATCGTCAAAAGAAGACTCGAGCTACCCCTCCTTATCTTGCATGGATAGCCTGAAAATTTTAAAAAAATCACATCCAAAGTTATCTGATTAACATGTAATAACAGATGTATTCACCTTCTGTTAGATGCTCTTGAAGCCATTTTGTGCATGAATATACTTCAACAGGCATGCATATAACACAATGAAGACAAAAGTCAGGTAAATCTTCCAAATCAAATAAAAAGAACATAAATGCAACATATTGTCCAAAACTAAATGAGTAAAAAACAATTCTGAATAAGGATTTGCATTACTGTACTGTCAGAGCATCTTCTTTGAAGGATGAGTACAAATGTTTGCATATTAAGAATAACTCCATAAGAAAAAGCTTATGGCAACTTACACATGCTTATATTTTTTATGTCATCATACCGGTGTCTAGATCCAGCTTCAATATATGCGTTCATTCTATTTGTTTGATTGGCTTCTATTATGTGATCAACCAATTGAGATGTCTTATGAACCTAAGGTCTTTTTATATTTTCCTGCAGAAAAAAGAAACAATTTTCAACATATAAAAGACAAAGTCTAGAATTGTGAGAATAATAATAATGGAGTATAAAGAGGATAAATTTTGCTAGAAAAAATCCTAGACACACCAGAACAGTAAGCGAAACAGCAAAATGAAGTCTCATGCTTGATTTGGTTAAAAAACAAGGGAGAACAGAAAAAAGTAAAAGGCAGGAAAAAAAGAGTCATTCCTGTTATTAGCACATGAGTATTATAACTTTCTAGGAAGATCTCACTGAATGAATACTTTACAGAATTTTTATACATCATAAAGTCTTCCTCTGATCAATTTTATAATTGAAGATAATTGAAACGAACAGTTGAATCAAAGCTCACCTAGTTCTTGACAAAAGTTATTAAGAAACTGGTGTGCTATATCAACCAGCTCAGGCAAACTTCTTCATTTTTTTCTAATAAAGTTAAGGGTTAAAGGACTCAAACTTAATTGAAGTCATTTTTTTCATATGTTAGTACTATATAATGCATCATTATCAAACTTAAAGACATATTCTACTTACATATTTATCTTAATCCCCAGTATCTAGTGTTTCATTAGCTTTCTTTCAGGTTTCATGGAACATTTCAGCTTAGTTTTAATACAATCCACATTCTATAGACTTTACACTATATAGTCTTTTGTGCATAAATGAAAATAAAGATATCTCAAACATGTTATATCCATAAAGAAGTCTACGTAAAATGGGGTATATAAGCCCAAAGAAGTGTACAAGGAGTGTTCTAAGTAAATCTGCATTATATAATTGAGGCCATATGTGAATAAGTGTTTGCACATATCCAAGGAGTATTCAAGGAAGTGCTGCAGTTCTGTAAGCGTGTCATAATATTGAACATGGTACGACTTCATGATGGGTTATTCATGTTTGTTTTGATTTACCAGCAGCTTTAGCTATTTCTTTCTAATAATTTCACTATGTACTTGTCTGTCTAAAAAAATCTAATAAAGACATGATGGACGAAAGAAGGCCTTTAACAGAGTTGAATGGAAAAGAAGGATTCGCGTTTTGCAAGGAAATTTGTATTATATATCATGTTTTTTCTGGTTTTCCTTTCGTCTAAGAAAGATATTGATAATTAAGATCCAACATGTCATTTCTATGTTTTTCTCAAAAACATATCCCTTCTATGGAAAATTCAAGATTGGAAAATAAGAATTTAATTGCATAGCTATGTAAGCCTGTATACAGTGCAAAAATACAATAACAATAGTTGAAGGTTAACGATTGAAAATTTTAAATAAAATCTGATGTAAGCGCTTAAGGAATGACCGATTAATCTGTGTCCCTGACTAAATCATACTGAACATAAGACTAATTGATATATAATCGCAAAATTAATCTCGAAAATCAGTAACAATACCTAGATTATGTAGCGAAGCAAAGAACTCTCAGGCAGCTCACTTTCTCCACCCATCCCTATAAATGTCCTGAAGCTCCGGAACCTCGTGTTTATAGGGTGGCAACAAATTTGTCCATAAACACCTTTTCTGAGTAAGTCATGACAGTTGAAAGCATACGCTCCCTAGTAAGCAATCCTCAAACTCAATATCTTCATCACTTCATGGCGTGGAATCAATCTCTTCTCCAAGCTAAGCATCAGCAGCAAAGGGTATTTGGCAACAAAAGACGGTTGACACTCAGCTTCCTTCAACAAGAAGTCCATCTTTTTGGCCAGCATTTTCGTGGACAAGGTCAAGAAGCACCCAAATTTCTTCATGGTCTCAATATTGGCTTTCAATCTGACCATGCTTATTTTGCTAAGAGACGAGAGCCCAAATAAAAATCCCCGAGCCTCGAGCAATGCCTATCTTTCTTCTCAACTTGTTCAGCAATTGAAATCAAATTTTGTGGACGCTGGACGATGAACCTACGGCTATCTCGAGCAGCCATTGTGATCTTGTCATTGGAGACGCCACAATTGCGAAGAAAGGGAGATAGTAGGCAGCACAGTCTTCTCAATGTTTCTCATAAAAAAGTTGTTATTTTGCTTGAAGAGCCTGATGAGGCGATCATTAGTGGCCAACAGGGTTCGCCAGAAATGGATCTTTGAGAGGATTTTGCGGTTGAAATTGAGGTGTATTACCCTAGGGTTTGAATTGACGAGGTCGGTGAGATCTGAACCGGAGAAGCCTATGTCGTTCAAAGACTCGAACTTTGGAGCTAGAATCTTGTCCACGTTTAGACGGAGGAATTTCGGGTGAGAAGATACGATGTTTTGTATCTGGGCCTGGCTGAAACCGTGAGTTTCCATGAAAGCAATGAAGAATTGAGGCTCATCGAGGGATTTGAGGGAGGAGAGGTATTTGGAGGCTCTGATTGCTTTCTCTGAGGTGAACCTAAGTTTGTCGACGAGATAGTCAACTATAAAATGATGTGTTTTGGGGGGGGGGAGAAGGAGAAC